ATTTTGGCATTAAGCAGTTGACAGTTTACAGTTGGCATTAAGCAGCTATGCAGCTGACAGTAGGCATTAGGCAGTTGTCCAGTAAACAGTAGGCTCTTTTAATGGAATTCCGTAGATAACCGAGATATGGTCTTCTGTTTTTGTCTCTTTTTATTGACATAATTTTCTATGATATATTGTGCAGCAATCGATTGCAGGCTAAGGAAAACTAACCAAGCGTACGATTGTTCTATTCGCAACCAACAGATCAACTTGCATCCAATAAACAGGGTTTTTTTTATAATTTAAGTCAGTATTAACAAAACAAAGCGTTTCAATGGTTTTAAATAACAGCATGATAAACACTGTAAAAACTTTATTTAAATGTCTTTTCGTCGGACAGGATATAATAGCATTTATATTATTCATCTTATTCCATATAAGTGTACGAGCCTGTGGTGATATTTTATCTTTTGGTGACATTTTATTTCAAAAATGCCCGAACTACAATGCTTAGGATAGTAACGTTAATCAATGTTTACTCGAACAGACTCAAGATAATACAAAATTCCATTAAATGCATATCAGGGATTTGCACTGTGATGCAAACATTTGCAAAATGAGTATTTCATGTAAAACAATTTTTTTTTCAAACTTATGCAATAAATTCAGTTTCGAGCCTACACTCGTTCCTTATCCTCTACTTTCTAAACTCGTGTGTTAAAAATAAGTCGCATACGACTTTATTTAAGACCGATTTGGTAACAATCGACTAAAATTACTGCTACACCATCGAAAAGTCAAAGGACATCCGCTAATTATGCTTGTGATAATACTTGGAATGACTGACCAAGGTGATCTGGTCAGAAAGAAGCTTACTTGTTGAATTCAGCTAAACGTCCTTGCGCATTAGACACGTACTTTTTAATCACTGTCAAACCTGTTCCGATTTCATCTCCTCCCGAGATAACTTTGCTCGATGTAGACCCAATAATTGTCAATATTTCTTGAATCATGATCACTTGCTCTTGACTACGTTTCTCGTTCCGCGCAAGTTCTTCTTTGTCATGTTGTCCACTGTATAATATTGTTAATCCTCTTAGACATAGTATCATGAGTAATCTAGTTTAATCAGTTAATAACTCAAAAAAGATCAACAGATCATTTTTTGCTCGTGCAAGAAAGTAATAAACGTAAGAAGACATATACCTGTTAATTTGAAAGATAAACAGTGCATTATTAAAGTTCAAAGCAAGAAAATATAACAGATATTTCCATTACAACATTTTATTAAGATAGAGAATTCAAATATGTTAAGATATATCGGACAGGGAAGTAGTTTACCTGACGTCATTAGTTTATTGACGTTGTATCTGACGTCATATGATGCGTTAGTATTTATTCTGATTTGCCGTGTGGGGCATATATGTCCTAGTTGACGTCAAACAATATTTCATTACCCTCACCGCCTTGGGTTCGTATCCCGATAGGGTCTTTAAATTCATTATTATGTTTGAACGCTATCCAGCTGGTTTACGGAAGGTCGAAAGTTCTACTCAAGTCCATGTTTATCTCGGAATCTGGATATGTCCCATATAACTTACCCAATCAAGAACTAGATTATGGAAAGCATTTGTAAATGGTAATTCTAGAGACAGTTTTGTTGCAGACAGGAATACCATATAGTCAAACACTGATTCATTCAACTTTCACGTTGGAATTGATATATATCTTGTTTTTGAGTGCATCTTGCTACAATATTGCACGGTAGGTTATTCGGCACATTTTTGCAATTACAAACATTCGTGATAATGTTACCGTGTTGTATTATACTCAATGTACTTAAAATCAGGATATATTTTCTAAATATAGTATGTTATGGAGTTCAATTGAGCAGTTATTTAATCAAAAAGGCAACTGGCCTTTCAATGATTAAACATTTGTTCTTTGAGATATAAAAATGACGTATTAAGCTTGAACATACCAGTAACATGAATAAGAATCAACTTACTACAAAGTCTATTTAACTTTTTGAAAAATAAAAAAAGTTAGTTATAGACCACAATGTATTTCATGATATAAAATATTACTGACTTACAGTATTACCTTTTAAATTCAAGTATTCTTTCACGAAGCTTCGAACGACTTTCACGGAGAGCTATGACCACCCTGCATTGATTGTTGTTTGCTTTGTTTAGAGGTTTGGTATCATCCCATCTATTAATCTCCTCCAGTAAAGAATTTACTTCTGTTTCGATACTTTAAGCAAAATTGGACACGATACGGTTTAGATAAATTCAAATAACAATACGCATAAAATAAAAGTATGCCTTTGAATGCTTTCTTTATCATAGATTAAATTCTGACAAACAAAATGCTTAAATTTAGAAACATTGGAAAATCAAAATATTTAAAATAAAGATTATGACCTTTTTGGAAGGTGATAACGCCTTCTTATTTGCCGTTGTTTCCAATGCTTCGATCAAACAACTGCATTATATACGTATACGCTTAATATCGTTTGATGACATTTAAGCAAGAATCTAACAAAGAGTACAAGCTAAATGATTGTTTCTAGTCATAATGTTTGAAATATGCATAAAAATGTTTCCTTACTCATATCATTACATTACATTTTATCGTAAACTGTTAAGAGCAGTGTAATTGAAAATATTGCTAAAATCTAATAAATTCAGGACTCTTTTCAAAGTTTGCTGATCATTCCACAAAAGGATAAAGGCTGATCATGTCAATTACCCCACCATCAAGTTTTGATTAAATGAAACTTTCTGAATATCTGGTACATATTGTACCATATTTGTTATTAAGCCTTATTTACCTATAAATATCTAAAATAACCCTTTCTAGAATGACCTGAGAGATCTAAATATAATGTTTAAAGAAAGAAAATAATGAGGTTGTCCCTATTTAGTTTGAAACAACAACCCCACTTCAAATTAAGTTAACAGGAATTTTAGCCTACTGAAATACCAATCAAAGTAAAGGTTATGATAAAGAATATACCACCTTGACACGTGTAATATAAAAAGTATCATATTGATTGTCAAATATACTCGAATAGACCAAAGTAATGCAAATTTTCATTACATGTTATTTGTCGTGAACGAACGGAATCAAAACATGATTTGGAATTGTGACTGGTTCTGCAAACTAAAACATTTTCGCTAGCCCAAAATTTCGCAAAATCGGCATTTTATGTAAAAGCAATATATTATTCAAACTTATTCAAAACATTTAAACTCATTTGTTACAAATCAGTTTCATACGACTATATCAAGGAAAATTACTATTGTGCCACCGAAATGTCGAAAGACATCAGCTTATCATGCTTGTTATAACACTTGGAATGTCTGACCTTAGTGAAATGGTAAGAAAAGCTTACTCGTTGAATTCAGCAAGACGTATTTGCGCATCTGATACGTATTGTTTTATCTCTATCAAAGCTGTTCCGATTTCATATCCGTCTGAGTTAGCTTTGCCTGATGAAGGGCTTATCAGTCTCCACATTTCTTTAACCACTTGGTCTTGACTTTGTTTATCCTTCCGCGCGATACCCACTTTGTCATGTCCACTGTACATGTATAACATTGGTAAAAATTATGTTATATGATTTCTTAAACATTATGTCTTGACTAATTTAGTAAACAGATTATATGCATGTATTCTCGGTGCAGCAAGTAAAAAAAGATCAACAAACAAGTTTGCTCGAACAAGAAAGTCATAAACGTCACACGAAATATACATAACGAAGTATGTGAACCATAAACCTTGTGTTATTAAGATTTAAAGCAGAATTTTTTTTATAGGTATTTCTATTCTTAAATGCTTATAAATAGAGACTTAATTTGAATATGATAAAAAAAACATTGAGCGAAGTAGTTTTCCTGACGTCATATGACATGTGAACTGGTAATTCCATGTTAGCATTGAATTATATACATTGTGGTATTATATTACATGGTAGGTCTTTCAGCACATGTTTGTCTCTATTCACTCAGGCTTACAATATTCGGGAACATGCAGTCGTGTGTTATCAACCTCAATGCACAAAAATCAAAACATATTTTCTAAATGAAGTATGTTATGGAGGTCAAATAATTGATACGTTAATTTGCATTTTAATTATCAAGAATTTGTTCATTAAGATATGAAAATGATCTAAAAAACCGAAGTATTTAGCTGAAACATTCCAAGATTAAGGAAATAAATTAACTACTAAAGTCCATTTCAATTAAAAAAAAAGTTAATTATGGACCACAATTTGTATATATGATATAATTACTGACTTACAGTATTACCTTTTAAATTCAAGTTTTCTTTCGCGAAGCTTCGAGCGACTTTCACGGAGAGCTATGACCACTTTGCATTGATTTTTGTTTGCTTTGTTTAGAGGTTTGGTATCATCCCATCTATCAATATCCTCCAGGAAAGAGTTTACTTCCGATTGGATACTTAAAATAAGATTGAACATGATACTTTTTAAAATAATTCAAATTTCACTATGCTTTAAATGAAAATATGCCTTTCAATGCTTTCTCTATCATACGAAATATTCTAACAAACAAAATGCTTATAATTGGAAACATTGGAAAATCATAAAATTCAAAATAAACGTTATGACATTTTTGGAAGGCACTAACCACATATTTTCTGTCGTTTCAAATGCTTCGACACAACAACTTCATTTTCTACGCATACGTGTAATATCCTTTCATGCCATTTAAGCAATTCAGAACAAAGATATATGAAAAGTATTCGATTTCTAGAATGTCACTTCAAAGAAATAAATAGATGCTTTTTTCTAAAAAATACATAAAATAAAGACGTCATAAGTGTTACTGACTTAATATCTGACGTATGAATGACGTGTAAGCATTTCTTTTATGTTGTGTAATAATGAACTTGCTTGCCCTATCTGTCTGAAAACGGTAAACGTGTGAAGCGTGTTAGAATAGGTCATGACAAGTCCTGACATTCAAATTGGCAAAAAGACATATAAAACTGAACGCATCTATTTATGGGCAAATGAGATATAAAAATGAATTACCTTTGAAGCTCTTTCTTTTTTTCAAAAATTGTGGAACGATTTGAACGAATTAATCTTGCTAATTCACAGTCAGAATCTATTTCTCCGTCTATAGCTTTCACTTCAAACCATGACTTTAGGTCCTTTGTAAGACAATCAACTTCTTCTTTTGCGCTTTCAAAATCATAGATAATCATATCGACAATTAAACTATCAGTGACTGTTAAACTATTAAACTATTGCTTTGTTTTTTTATTGTTAGAATGAAACAAAAAATATACACAATTTGTTTTTTCTTCTTAATTAGGAATCTATGTTACAAATTTTACGTAATGTTCTCTTGTTCTTTTTAAATATAATGTTGGAAATGATAAATTGAAAAATAACTTTTGGTCATGCCATAAAATAATAATAATAATAATAATAATAATAATATTAATTATAATAATAATATTAATAATAATAATAGTGATAATAATAATAATAATAATAATAATAATAATAAAACAGTCATATTATTTGCAAACTTTACTGACCCACAAATATAATACTATTAAAGCAAAAGTTGCCCCTTCTGATAATCGTAAAAAAATATTAAATGGAAAATGTTCAGTATGCTCATGGTATTGGCTGAATTTGCTGACATAACAAGCTCTGCCATATAAGCTATTTGAAAGAAAATGTAGTTTCTCTGTACGAACATTAAGTTAAATCACACAAGACTTTGCTGTTTTAATTGCGCAAATGTTCGATTTAACCTTTAGAGAGGCTTATACATTCTCTTACATTCATTTATTAGCGGCTGATTACCAACTTCTACAGAAAATGAAAATTGTTTTACCTTTTAAACTCTTTTTTCCATTTATGAACCTGCAAACGACCTTCTCGAAATTCTTTTACAACTTTATCTTTACAATCTTCTTTAGCTTCATTGATAGTTTTGATATCATTCCATTCTTTAATTTCGTTCAATAATAATTTCATTTCTTTATTGGCACTTGAAAATATAAATTGATATACTAATTGTTTATAGAATAAATCAAAATGCATAACATTCACAAATTCATTTTAACATGATGTACATTACAACCTGTATCATAAATGAAGTAGTGTAATAAATTGTTACACAGAATATGGCAATGCCAAGAAACCAGGCTTTCAATTATCACCTTTGTAGAAATATTTGTTGCATAGTTTGAATTCTGTAATTAAGTAACAATGAAACTATATATACAAGCAAAATTCAATGTAAATGTGCGTAATGTATATAATAAATAATGAATTAGCAAAAGAAATATGCATGCAGTTTTTAACAAAGCCGATGAAATAATTAATATCATGTTGATCTTGATCCTGGTGGAGGGAGATGCGGGGGCTAAAGCAATCCCAAGCAATGAATTCACATCAGCTTACTATACACAAAGTCACAAGTTTCTTTTAATACCTCACACTTAACTATATTTATCAACCTGACACCAATTTTCTACTTTTAGTTACAGTGATATTGACCTTGGTCCTATAGGACTCAAAAGCAATCCAAAGCTATATTTCAAGTTGAATAAAAAGGCCTCATTTAAAAATACAGTTATTGACTGGAAATTGATTTTTATTTTAAGTAACAGTGACCCTGAACTGGAACCGAGGGGGCTTAAAATCTATTATATTAAAGGATTTAATATAATGTTACTTGTTTTATTTCAAGTTTCATTAAAATATTTAATTCTCTACTTTTAGTAACGTTCAAAGGCAATCTCAGGCGAGTTATTTATATAATTCTGTTTTAAACAAAGTTTCATTGCAATATCGCATTCCAAACACTAGATATTGACCTTAAACCTATTTTCTATTTTTAGTAACAGTGACCTTTTTGCCTTTTCCAACCGATTTACCAGGGTTGTAAAACATAGTTAATAAATTCTCTTTACATAAGAATGGACCAAAGTATTCGTAGCATTTTTATGTGATCGTTGATTCCAGAGATTGAATACAATACTGCTTAAGCCGGTGTTAGTGGGCGTGAGAATTGTGTCACGGTTTCATTATCTTAATGAACAGGCTCAAACAATTTAGTCTGCAGTTTTTCTGTAATTTTGATAGTTTATTGCTTCCGATGGATCTTCCATTTTCCATAATCTTTATGCCATAGATGCCATTCTGCAGTTTTGATAGAGCTATCCTATAAACATTGTACGTACTTTACAGCAATAAGTGATCTTATTCAGACATATCTGAATTTATTAAAACTTTTAAATTTCCATAATAATAATCATCTTTCGTTTTATTTTGTCAGATATAGCACGATGTCTAACATGTATCTGAATAGGTTCTGAGCCCATTTGTAGGGCAATCACTGAAACAATTCGATGAATCGAAGCAAACGAGTCTCGATAATAAAATCAATATTTATTTTTGCTAATTATTTCCAACTAGTTCTTTCAAATTACCCTTGCAGGCAAAACACAACAGTAAATAAAAAGTTTTTCGTTTACACATTTTGAAAAATAAAAAAAGGTTATTTAAAGACTACAATATGTTACATGATATAAGATATTACTGACTAACAGTTTTACCTTTTAAATTCAAGTATTCTTTCGCGAAGCTTCGAGCGACTATCACGAAGAGCTTCGACCACTGTGCTTGCATTTCCGTTTGCTTTCTTGGGAGGTTTGGTATCATCCCATGCTTTAATATCCTCAAGTAATGATGCTACTTCGGTTTCGATACTTAAAGAAAGATTGGACATGGTACGATTAAGATTAATTAAAATGACATGAAAATATTCCTTTTCATGCCTTCCATACCATAGATAAAATAATTAGAGACAAAATGCTTAAAATTGAACTATTGGAAAATTCTAATATTAAAGAAAAAGGGCACGACGTTTTTTTTTTTGTGTGTTTTTTTTTGGGGGGGAGGGGGTGGCGAAAACGCCTTCAGTACTTTTTGTAAACCGAAATATATTTCTTAAGCCGGTGCTATAGGGCGCAAGAAATGTGCCATATTTTCATTATCCTAATGAACAGACTCAAACGAACCGAGTCTGCAGAGTTTCCGATGGATATTCCCCTTTCCATAATCTAAATGCCATAAATACCAATTTGCAGTTTTGATAGAGCTAAACTATAAACATTGTACGTACTTAACAGAAATAAATATCGTATCCTAACATGTTGATTTTTTTATAATAACCGTTAAAATTCAAATTTCATCATACAGAATACATGACTGAAAACTGTTACAGAAAGATAATCATCTTTTTTATTTTGTAAGATATAGCACAATGTCTTACATGTATCCGAAGATGTTCTTCCATTTGTTGGTCAATCGAACGAGTCTCAGTTTTAAATCAATATTTATTTTCTGCTGAATATTTCAAAATTTTCTTTCAAATTACCCTTGCAGGCAAAACAAAACAATAAATTAATCGTTTTACGTTTACACATTTTGAAAAAAAAGGTTATTTATAGACCACAATATGTTACATGATATATAATATTACTGACTAACAGTATTACCTTTTAAATTCAAGTATTCTTTCACGAAGCTTCGAGCGACTATCACGAAGAGATTCGACCACTTTGCATGTATTTACGTTTGCTTTTTTGGGAGGTTTGGTATCACCCCATGCTTTAATATCCTCCAGTAACGATGCTACTTCTGTTTCGATACTTAAAGCAAGATTAAACATGGTACGATTAAGATTAATTAAAATGACATGAAAATTTTCCTTTCCATTCCTTCCATACCATAGATGAAATATTAAGAGACAAAAATGCTTAAAATTGGATACAATGGAAAATTGTAATATTTAAGAAGAAGGGCATGATGTTTTTAGGAGGCGAAAACGCCTTCAGTACTTTTTGTTAACCGAAGTATTCATAGCATTGTTTATGTGATCATTGATTCAAGTAGTTTATATAAACGAATAAATATAATACTGCTTGAGCCGGTGCTAGAAGACGCGAGAAATGCGCCACGTTTTCATGATCCTAATGAATAGACTCAAGCGAACCGAGTCTGCAGTTTTCGTAATATAAAGATGTTTTATTGCTTTCTATGGATTTTCCATTTTCCATAATCTTAATGCAATAAATGCCGTTTTGGAGTTTTGATAGAGCTACCCTATAAACATACAGCAATTAATATCTTATCCTGATATGTCTGAATTTATTAAAACCTTTAAAGTTCCATTTTCATCATACCGAATACATGATTGAAAATTGTTACAAAAGATAATCATCTTTTTTTTTTATTTTGTCAGATACAGTGCAATGTCTTAAATATATCTGAAGATGATCTTCCATTTGTTGGGCAATTACTGAATCAGTTCGATGAAGCGAGGCAAACGAGTGTCGATAATAAAATCATTATTAATTTTCTGCTGAATATTTCAAAATATTTCTTTCAAATCAACCTTGCAGGCAAAACATAACAATAAGTTAATCATATTAAGTCGGTGTTTCCACTACTCTGCGTTTCTTGCGTTTTTGACGCAATAAAAATGCAAAGCGCGTTTTCTATGACGCAGTCATAATCTGCTTTACAATTAGATGCATTCTTCTATTATTAGCGCCATCCCGTTTAAATCGGCAATTATTGATGGCCATCCGGGTCATGTATAAGTTGCTAACCTATCCTGTGTCGTTATCGGTCAGTCGGACAATCAGTCAGGTTATCCTGGATTAAGACATGTACGGTCTGAGTAAACGAGTGATTTGAACATGGAGACGCTTGTCTTACAATGGCATGCACATCACAAAAGATCGGGGCTTTAGTCAGAGACATATATAACAATATTATCTACATCTCTGCTTTAGTGGCCGACATATGAAAGTTTCTGCAATAAACAGACGTCTGACAGGTTAAATGTTTTAATGTAAATAAGCCTTGGTTTTTCTTTAAAGGATTTTTCGTTTGCAACTGCTAAATTGAGAAATTTAAGTTAACATAAACAGTTCTGAGATTTGTTTGTTTTTGCTCAGAGGTGATCAGCATTTCTATGCGGTCAACTTTAAGTAGTTCATAAATTATGAAGCTTGGATCCAAAGTGGAAAACTCAATGGGACCTAATTACTTTTTTGCATATAACTTAGTAGCTGGGGTACAAAACAAATTCTTTTAATAATGTTGCAACTTTAAAATATTTCGAATACACAAAACCAAACGATAAAATGTTGAAATGTTTAATTCGTCGCATCATTTAATCAAATATTTTTCAGAAATGCAGTTGTAGTGTCACTTTCATACAACAAGTATTTATCATAGTTTAAAAAAAACAAATATGAATGATAGATATCATGCAAAAGATAATTAAGAAACAAATCCTTAGACATAAATTTAATATTGTACTTTTGTGCTTTTGTTATTCTGATTTGAGTAAAAATAGTTTGCCCAATTAAAATTGTTGTTCTGGAAAAATGGAGTGAGCGTATGATCTGAAATTTTGCACAGGAGTTACTACGTAATTGTCTAGACCTTCATCAATTGGAACAATAATATCAGATTTTTTTTCCAGTACCGTCAAAAAAACACCAGTGGCATCCCTTTAACATTTAAATTAACTTCTTATATAGAGAATTAGTTTCTTTTGACATTTAAAGAAACTAACAAACAACATAAAACAAACATCTTTAAACGAAATACTAATCAGTGAAAGAATGGGGCACAACTCTGTAAAAGGGAGTAATGGGATGTGAACCCATCATGTTAGATAATCACAGAGAACATTTGTAAGACGTTTCAACCAATCCCTCAGTCTCAGTAGTTTTTGAAATACAAACTTTTACGGGAAAAAAACCAAAGTGTGATGGCGACACAGAGACCGACGCCAACATGAGTACAATAGTTTGGGCTAGTCTACGTATAATCAAGCTTAAAATGTCCAGAAATTAGACAAATTTGGTATGTGGCTTCACCTTGTGGTAGTTTGAAAATTATAGAAAGCCTACCTCGGGTGTCCAAATTTGTCCCGCTACTTGGGTCAAGTAATTTATATTGACTTACATAGAAACATACAATTAAATCTTCTTGTGGAAAGCTACCAGCTCAGAACTTTTGTTTAGCATTTAGCATTGCTGACACCCTTACACTCAGAGTATAAATATTTGGCATGTTGCATCACATTCTGGTCTTCAGTAATAAAAGCCATTTCCATTGGGTCAAATTGACCTAGCCCCGGGGTTCACTTAGTTTATTTAGAAATACATGTAAATATGAAACACATGTCTCCTTGTTTGAAACTATAATGCCCAGAGGTTAGAATCTGGCATGTTGCATGTATTTGAAGTCCTATACAAAAGTTATATAAATCATGCCGCCTGGGTAAAAAGAATCCAGCCTCGGGGTCACTTATTTTTAATACATTATAAAAATACGTACAATTTTCTCATAGCTCACAATTTGTCCATGTCTATGAAATATGTAATATGCAGTTGATTTATTTATTATAAGCAGTCAAACATAAAGGTATGTTGAGTACTCTTTAAAATACGTATTAGTAAACAAGAGTAATAGGAGTCTATTTACAGGTGTTGCAGAATATTGACCTTTTCTTGAAATATGTCTTATGTCAGCGAACCAGTGTCATCATAGCTTTCTTGTTTAAACATATTATTCAAATAACGATCAATCATACATTTTAATAAAAATCGTTAAATGTATGTACGAGTACATTATATCAGAATTAACATCGCTTTTGTATGTATATGTCTTAGGTAGGGGCAATTAAACTTTGTCTTTTTAAGAAATATAAGCACAGTATTCGATAGCATGTACTTCTTTATTGGCGTAAGGTGGGTAAACATTATAAAAGTAAATTTAAATAGTATAATTACATGTAATATTAAATAAATAATATTCTTACCTCGTTTTACTATCATTTTCATTTTTCAGCTTTCTACAACAATCCAGAATGATAGCATTGCATTTATTAACTTCCTCGTGACTTCCTGCTATATTTTTCGATTTTGTAAAATCTTTCTCGTCATATTTGCTGTCATCAATTTGCTTAACCAACTTATTGAGCCAGTTTATAACGTCACTAAATCTGTAATAATAAAATGTTTCGCAAATCACAAAAAACTTTTTGCCTGAAATTAATGTTATTATATCAAAGATAATAACCTGACTTAAAAGACTCATATCATAATTTTATAATAAAATAAATGTTGTTTTTTTTTCATTTTTAATGTTCTGTCCATTTCTGCACATATTTGTATCTTAATATCTATTTCATTATAGTATAATCTTGTTATATATGTGTTAAATTGATATTTGGAGTTCTTATTATTTTGAAGTAAAAAGCACTTAACGTCATTTTGAAATTACTTTGATTTCCACTGTTGTTCTGCCTTTTGCAATTCATCTTGTTTATGTTTTTCTTGTTTTTGTTGTTCTGCCTTTTTGTTAATACCCTTTGTCCCGCTGAAAATGTAAAATACAAATATGGTTTTTCTTAAATCGTTAACTCTCTCAAATCAGTAAAAGAAACCAATATTTTTCCCCAATCCGTTTTGCTTAACTTTGAGAAGTATAAATAATTTGTATAAAACATTTATTTACCGTGTCGCTGAAACCATTTTAATCAATCTGAAAAATAAAACCAGAAGACAAAAATGATTATCAATCAATTATTATTATCCAACCCTGAAACGTAAAAAGCGGAAATAAAGAGTGCACATGAATGTAAGATAGAATAAGCGAAACTATCTACAAATTTCAAAGCCAATGAATGTATTTTGCTGTAAACAAATTTAATACTTGAGATTTATTTTGTTATTTGTAGGACTGATCTATTGTGATCCATTTTCTTGATTCCTGTTGATTTTTCATTTTTACAGTGATAATGAGTAACTGACTTCAGATAATTATGTTGATGACATCAAAATCAGTTTTTATTATATTTAAAGGTAAGTTATGGAATGTTATTTATCAGCAATTAATCAGTCAATTGCATTTTTAATTCTCTTACATAGAAAGATTCTTTTATAAAACTGAAATCATCATATACTAAACTTCTCAAGAAAAATAAAAACGTTTGAATTATTCAAATACACTCATTACAAATACAAAGTTTTAAATCACAACAAATAGAACTTACTTTTCTGCATTAACAATAGCAGTTGATATTTGACCTTCTTCTGGAGATTCTTGTTTGCGAGCACCTCCTGGGGATGTCGTACCCTCTGGTGAATCAGTCGGCGGCAAATCGTCACAAGCTTCCTGTAGCATCGAATATAATTTTTCTCTTTGAGAACGTAAGTCCCTGTAGTGTTAAATTTTAAACATTTAAATCAAGCGATACATAGACTCCCTTAAAAACACTATAAGTCCCTATAAGTCATGGACAACATAGTTCAAATATAAAATACTCAACGAGCTTCGTAAAGATTTTTATTGACATTTGATACGCTATTTCGGAGTGAACATGAAAAAAGCTGCTATATATCATTTAATTTGATTACACAGAAGAACTTATGTAGTAACGTAATGCGACCCAGTTCCAATGTCATAATTACCTTAGTTACGTGTTTTTATGTCAATGTTTCTTTTTTCGTATTTAAAGCCCACTGAGCCGACGAAATGCAATGATTCTTTCTAAAATTATTTCTATGTCAGTGTAATGTGGTTACAGTTTCCAAAAGTTACTTTGTTGTGAAAATTTTAATTTTTTTTTGCTTCTGTTGCAATTGGTAAATAATGTATTTACATTAGGCTACATTTACGACACATTACTGCAGGTTCAGCGCCTTTTCATAAGATTTTTAATATATTTGAATCTAACATGCTCTAAACAAATTATCTAAAATAGAGAAAAACTTAAGAACGTACAAAACGACAAAATTGAAAATGTTGCAGGATCGGTTTGATTGAGTCTGTTCCTGGACGGTACTGTAAAAGTGTAAGTTTACACCCCTCTCTTTGCATCGGTCGGTAGAATTAAGCACGATTCAACATTCAAACAAAAAAATGGTAATCTTTGAATTTGGAAACTACCGCAAATGTTAAAAGCAATTTTCTTTAGTTGTTTAACATTATGACATCTAGCATCCTCTAAACAAATTATTTGTGCATTTTTAAGACCTTTTCTACTCATCTTCAGAAAGTAAATAATAAATGATCACTCTTTAAGCTGGGTTTATCTGAAAATGAAATAAGTGTGACATACTAAATGAACTACCGCCAATGAAATATTTATATTCAAATAGTGCTTGCCAAATTCATTGCACTTAAAATAATTTTAGCCTCGTGTCAAATAAAACATATTTTATCACAAAATCTTTAATGTGTTATTCGATTGCCATTAGAGTAAATCCTTAAATGCATTTTATGCAACCTGTGGATGAAATGAGGTTTCCTAAGTCATTTTAAGCAATATTGGATTAATAACAAACGTTACGTAATAAGTCAAACAAAATCGTTTCGTATTAAAATATGCATGAAATAATAACATGATCTTATATAATACAAAATTCAAATACTTATAGGTCAATGAATGTTTAGATATATATTTATTGCAAGCTTTATAGATATTACACAATGACAAAGCTTAAAGCAACAGTGCAAGTCATTTCTAAATTGGTATCATTCTAGCTTTTAAAATATTTTTGAAAACCTTAACATGTAAGTAACTTTGAGCTTTATCTTTGGCATTGACTTTTACTTTGAATGATAGTGCAATTTCCTTTAATATGACAGACACTTTTGCTGACTCTGAATTTCCACTAGGTTTTATATCAAATGCCTTATCGTTGTATTCATCTTTCTGAATTTGCTGTTTCAGCTCATTCAGTCACATTTTTATAAAATCGTCAATTCAAAGGAGCTGTCACTGATAAGTGACTTATACCCCTGAAAGGAAGTATAAAATCCGCAATATATGCAAACATACTGGTTAAATACGCCCGACCGCCTTTGAAAAATATCAATTCTAAAATTTAATTCAAATTTCATTATAAGGGTAGGAGAAAAAGTCTAAAGAAATTTCACTAAAAAATCATCATCAAGGGCCCATAACTGTGCAAAAAAATCAAGCACAGAATATATGGAACAATGCACAACTAGACTTTGAAAATCATTACACCATGCAATTTTATAAATGTCCACTGAAATATCCCAAGTGGTTTTAACAATTTGAAAGTTAATTTACTAAAAAATCAAGATTCTATGCACAACTAGGCTTGGTGAAGTTTCACTAAAATTACCCCAGCTGTTTTGGAGATGAAGCGTGGACAAGCTTATTTTTCTCGAATTTTGACCATAAAGGGGCCAAACAAATCGAGCAGAATGTCAAGAGAGTATGCACAGCTAAGTTTGGTGATAAACAATCCTGTGAAGTTTTACAGAAATCCTCCCATCGGTTTTGATTATAATTGCGGACAAGCTTATTTTACTCGAAAATTGACCATTAAGTGCTCATAACTGTGTCAAACAATTCATGTTGAAAATCAAGATACTATGCACAACTCGGCCATAATTGTGCCAAAAAATTCAAGCGGAATATCAAGAGAGTATGCACAACGGTGCTAGGGGGCGTGGACGGTAACTTGCACTTTCCAGTACCGTCAATGAACAGACTCAATCAAACCAAGTCTGCAACATTTTCAATGTTGTCGTGTTGGGTTTTCTTTAGGGATTCTGTATTTCCCTATTTTTTGTGACAAACAGTCCTGTGAAGTTTCACTGAAATCCTTCATCGGTTTTGGTAATGAAGCGCTGACAAGATAATCGGACGGACGGACGGACAGTACGATTACTACATGCCGCATATTGTGGGCATATTATTATTCATAATCATCCACATATATGTAAATATTATCAAATTTACAACAAATTAACCTGAAAACATGTTAAAGTTTACGAAATTTTTCTTGATTGAGAGAAAAAAAAATGTCCATCAGATCATTTTAAATACACATACTTCATTAACAAAACTTTTCTATGGCGTATCTTGTTTTCAGTGTAAAATAACTGTAACATTTCCCTAAGTATCTGAACATATATTTGCAATATAACTACTTGTTTAACATTTAAAGCAATAAATCAGTGTTGTAAAGGGGCAACATTACTGTTTTATTCGAAGAAGTATATAACAAAAGAGTCATTGCGAGAAATTCGTGATTTGTTTCTCGCAGATTTAACAGAACGGATCACTCTCAAGAAAGCCGAGAATATCCAATTGAACTAAAGACAAGTGTCAAATTAAGATACAATGATAATCTAATAGTATAATATAAACGTTTGTTAAAAACCGTTGAGGTTTGAACAACCTTTTGTGTCAATTGGTGAACTCTTTTCACCTGCCATAACGTATGATGATATGTCTAATTCTTACTTTATACATTGTTATGCCATGCGACACAATTATTCTTGTATGTGTTACTATTTAATAAGGGTTAAGTCAAACATAATGAATCATATTATGCAATTTACATCGATATTTTCACTCAAATGGAATACATACATATATATGAAATTTTGTGTTACTTTCGAACGATCAACATAAGTATATTTACCCATTTGAGGCTGTCGTTAATGACTGATTTGACCCACCTTGGTTTCTGAAAATAATCAATAGATGATTAGACATAAGCTTAACTTGTAGTGCTATATACAGATCTGAACGAGAAACACCACTAGATGTTAACAACTTAAACGTTTTGTTTTCATATTATTTCTAACAAAATGATTTACACAATAATATTTAAAAAGAAAACTAAAGGATAATATTCATCATCATCATAATCACTGTCATCATCAGTACATCATCATCATCATCATCCGCTTGAACTCGGACCTTTGAAAATGAAAAAAATAAAATACATCCTTTTCTTATATAAGGGCTTCATTTTAAGCAAGTCATGATAAACATATTTATTTGAAGTTTTTTTTCAAGTCAAATATAAGGCAAGTAATATGAAACACTTTGAAACAGAATGAGATTAAGGATTTCGGTACTCGCTCTTTACTTTGAAAGCACAGTATAAAGGATCAAATATAACTTATAAGGTACAAGTAAATTATAATAATAAAATTAACTTATAATTATAATGATGAAATGATGAGATACGTCTTTGAAGACAACGCTGCACAATTACGATCTTACTGTACTGTTTAAAATCCAAAAGGTATCAATTTGTGAAAATGATAAACAATACTATAAAAACTTCCGTTATGTATTGACCTAACATTGATATCATTTATTTCTGAAGAACCGTTTTTACACGACATATTTTAGAGAAATCAAAAAGGTGGGCATAGAATACTTACCTGGCAGTTGGTCTGAGGCCTCTTTCATTAAATGCCTGAAAAGTAAACCAATAATACAATTATTCCAAGACTCAAAAAGTATTCAATTTTATAAATGCCGTTGTATTAAAATACATGTACAGAAAAACTGATACATGTATGTGCGTGTTTTAAACAGGTTCACATGTCTATTGATAGCACAAACTGCCCGTATCAGTTAGCGAAGCATAACAGACATAGTTTGGCCAGACTGTAGAATCAGGACATTGTCTTGTTTCATTCGTTCCTATTTACCCGCACTCCAATTAGCATACAGTCTGTCGGGGTAAGAACAATGACATTGTTACGCCGCATATAGATCTCGGCAAATATAGCTCTCCGGACAGCTTTATTCGTTAAAACATTATTACAATTGCAAAGCACATAGCTTTTAACAAACTGTATACTCGTACGTCAAGACGGATATAGCTCTCCATATAAAATAGGTACGTCAGTACAACAACAACCCCATCATCATCAATTTAATTAGGGCATTATAACACCACCATTATCATCATCCTAACGATGAAGGTGATGATGGATGTGATGATGTTGAATGACAATGATGATTGTTGTGATGATTCACTTTGATTATGTTCGTAATGATGATAAATATTTTGCAAAAATTTATAGTTCCAGCCCTGTAATAACATAGTAAGATTATTCGAATACTATTCTATCCGTAAATAATCTTTACAATTCTTTCTCTTTTTGATAGTCTGCATAATATGTGTGCACTGTCCCACCACATTTATTTTAAACGCCCCTGATTCTTGAGGAAAATATTACTTTCTAATAAAATAATTTATGTTTGGCGAAAAATGGAACAAAATTTTAGAATATTTGGATGCTCTGTCTTTCTTTCATTACTTTTCTATGGTCATATTTGGTTTACTTTATATGCACATAATTGATCATTTCACCATTAACCGATTTAAACTTCCAAGCATGGCTTATGCTGCTGACTGTTCCAAGGCGGCGCCCCTCTGTGATGTTCAGATGTATGTCTTTGTTTTTTTCATACTACTTTGGTGACACTTTTGTGTCCCTTCTTGTTATTTTCTCGTCTAAAGTAAGTATATCTCCTTTTCCTCTAGTTTTGTTTCATTTTATATTTGGCCTCCTTCACCCGACCTAAAGTTTTCTTCCCTACACCCCTTTACTTTGGTAGGCCTATTATTTAATTGCCTTTTGAATTTTAATAAAGTGATCGCCCCGTCCGTGCTTTGCCTTGTGCCCTGTCCTACTTGTGTCCTGTCCTACCATTGGGCTCCTTGTCGACGGTCCTGTTTTGCTTGGTTATGTAGGAGTTGCGTTCATTGAATCTACCATTCCTTGATGATCTTGTTTTTCATATATCATGTCACTTGTTTTAAAACAAAACTGGAGCCTAGTGAACCTTTTAAGCTAAACTATTCGAAGAATACTTGTGCTATCCTTCTCATCTTAGTAGCAGTGTCCGCATTGCATACCACTTTGGTTAAGAGTTGGGGGCAACGTCCAACTTAAAAAGCATCCAATTTTATGAATCACTAAAATATTTACTTGTAACTTCACAAATACTTTTGAGATCTGGCCATTATGATGTGTTAAGTTGTTGTTATTCAATGCCTATTAATTATGTTGTGTCTATTGTTTGTGTATCCACTATGTCAAATTATGTTTAAATTAATGATTTTTAGAACTGCACTGCGAAGTCGTAAACAACATTTTGCTATATCGTTAACCAAAACGAACGTATTCGCGTAGCATGTTATCGAGTGGAAGAAGGCATAATATCAATTTGTATTATTACACCAGGCGGCGCTGCTCTCGTGAATATTCGACGGTTTCCGTAATATGATGAAGAAAATGTGTTGTCTGTTAGGTCCCTTACTAGTATATACGCCTTTTGTAACGGACATGTATTTATAAAATTCTACTTATATCCAGTATTTCAGAATTTCTCTCATTCCTTCGATATGACGATACCATTGAAAGGAAGTGTAACTGTCCAAATTCACAATCTCACCTTGCTTATGTTTAAATTACGTCATTTGATCCTTTGAGTTTATAAAGCTATATCTCTGCTGCCTGTAACTAACAAAAATATTGTTTGATTCTTAAAAGTAATCATTCATTCCGAAATACTTAAATAAAAGAAATATGTTTGTAAGTTTCCTTTAGATCGAATGGGGTAAACAAAAAACCATTGCCAAACGGTCAAGTCCTCTTAAAATAGTAGCAAATTATTATGTTCTGGAACGTTTTATTCTGTTTACGTACAGTATTCATGTGTCGTACATAGATACATTCTATGTTACCACACGTTCGAGAATCAACCACAATATTTATAACTTATGTACACTTTTCTCTTATATCATTTTTGACTGATATGCATTGAAATATATGTTTAAACGTTTAGCGAGCATAAATAAAGTTGATTTTTTAAAGTATTTTTACATATTTTGCTTTGTTCTTTTTTGTATTACTTAAAGTTCATAATTGTTATCAAAAAATTTATTAAGATTAATAAGATTAATTAAAGAATTAAATAGGGGCGCCATGTTTTGTCTTATGTCAAACGCTTTGCGGGTCCGGGCTTTGTTTGACCGGTTATAAAATTAAAAGAATATAATTCGTATATAAAAGATCTCAAAAAATATGTAGAGATTTATGGCCGTGAAAAGGATCAGTGTCATTTTTTTGCCATTCTTGGTTTATACCTGTTTATGAATGGCGTATATACTTTTTAGGGACATAACAAACAAATACATTCTTCTTGGTTTCTGGCGTAATAAGGCAACTTTAGATTATACCTTCGCGGAAGTTCCTGATGATTGCTGCTTCGCCCATCCAAAAACATGCTACGCGATAACTTCCGTTTTGACCTACGTCTGTTTTACGGTGTACAGTCATGTTATTTCGCTTGAAAACATAGTTAACATTCACGACCACGCACTGCATTTCTAAAGCATTGGATAAAAACGTGTGTTGGCATGGTCAATACAAAACAACACACACAACATAAATAATAAGAGAGGTTAATTCACAAGATACAAACACAAAATATTAGCAAAATTAAAAGATTTAATATTTTGATATGAGCAAAGAACGAATACTTACAGCTGTGCAATGAGAGACTAACTATCAAGCATTAAATATTCATTAGCAGTGAGAAGAAATGTACGGTGGCATAAAGGTGACATGTGTGTGTGTGTGTGTGTTTATTTATCTCGTGCGCACGAGATACAATGTCGTGGCTACGGGTTACTAAATCGGGGCCACGAGATAGTTAGTTCGTATGTCGTGAACACAAGATACTATGTTGTGGCCATAGTTTTTTATACGAAGTCGTTGCTTCCAGATAATTAAGTCGTGGGCAATAAATACTATGTCGTGGCCACGACATAGTATCTCGTGGCCACGAGATAATTAAGTGGTGCGCACGAGATACTATGTCGTCGCCACGAGTTACTAAATCGTGGGAACGAAATAACTAAGTCGTGGGAACAAAATAACTAAGTCGTGCGCACGAGATAATTAACCAATCAAAATACACTACATATATTATGAGTTTTTTTAAACTTAAAAGAATTTCTGTGTAAAGTTTTACATGCAGCATTAATCTTTGACAGTACACTCACTACTGAGACCAATGATTTCAGCACATTATTTTGCAAAGAATTAATTTCTTATATGATAGGTGATGAATATTATATAATAATTAATATTGAAATCAGACGAAAGAAAATTGAATATTTTTTTTTCAGAAAAGTGTTTCGCTCTCATCTGATTAAATATTATAACATATACATGTATTGTTTTTGTAGGTTAAGATACATAATGGTTGTTCATACAAAATGACTAAAATAGACCATGGTCATAAAATATGTAAGCAATGATAAGAATATCCACAATTAAGACCACTTTGGTCCAGTCCCGATGGTGGTCTTAATTGAGGATATTTACTGTACTGAAGATATTCGCTTTAAACTTGATTCATGTCTTAAGGATCATATTAGAAAGTCACCTTCCAAGGCCCTTATATCAGACATTAGTTTTGACTAAGTTATAGCCCTTTATGGGGACAATTTTGTGATCAAATTGGTTAGTTTGTACGTACTTCGAACTGTTAACCTTGTTTAAACAATAACTTGAGAAGAAATAAGCTTATTTTATTTTGTAGAAACATTGCCCATGGACTGTAGAAAGCCTAAAAGGATGTTTGAGGTCAAGGGTCAAGGTAACCATGACACTTTGTGTAAAAGCCTTGTCTTATGAATAATTTAGAATGAATAAGCCATGGTTTATATAACCTAGAGAGATCATTCCACCTGATCAGTAGATGATACCTAATAATTTCGAGGTCATTATATCAAAAATCAGGGTCACAGTGACGCTAAATGTAAAATTATTGACCAATCAATAACTTGTATAAATTGCTCTTTTACAGGCAGGTGAAATAGGGGCATCCTTGTACTATAGAACATGTCTAATTAATTAGAAAAATTCATACAAATGGTGTAATCTGATTGGTTATTTATCTCGTAGCCACGACTAAGTAACTCGTGGCCACGACATAGAATCTCTTTCCCAAGACTTAATTATCTCGTGGCCACGACTTA